TTCCTTCATTCTTTCATTTATACATACATTCCTTCTTTCATTCATACATGCATTTCTTCTTTCATTCTTTCACTCATACGTGCATTCCTTCATTCTTTCACTCATACACGCATTCCTTCATTCTTTCATACATACATTCCTTCTTTCATTCTTTCATTCATACATGCATTCTTTCATTCTTTCACTCATACACGCATTCCTTCATTCTTTCATACATACATTCCTTCTTTCATTCTTTCATTCATACATGCATTCTTTCATTCTTTCACTCATACACGCATTCCTTCATTCTTTCATACATACATTCCTTCTTTCATTCTTTCATTCATACATGCATTCTTTCATTCTTTCACTCATACATGCATTCCTTCATTTTTTTATTCATTCCTTCATTTCTTCATTCGTATAAAAAATTAAAAAGACCGTTATTGATCAGTCTCGATGAAATTGAATCGAAAAACTTAATAACGGATAATGTATCACGAACGAAATCGTTGGATGAGGTGCTAAAAGTTGTTTGACTCAGTCACGACCTTTCATATGATCAGAGAGATGAGTTGAAGAAAAAGCAGGGATCTGTAAGCAGCGATTTTTTATTCAGAGTGAGGGGACCTCCGGGAAGATTGAAAATAGTCAAGTTTCGGAGAGAACAAAAACTGAAAGAAAAAGTTTGATTGAGAGAGATGGTACTGATGGTTGTGTTGATGATATTGATTTTGATGGAGTTAATGTTGAAAGTTGTTTTAGATATGCAGGTAATAAAGGCTTTTATGGTTAAGTGTCAATATAAAATCGGCCGAACACAGCAGGTTTTGTTCAACTGGAGTTTGTCCTACGTCGGGGTGGCTCGCTCTGGTGTACCACAGGGATCTGTTTTGGGTCCTTTATTGCTCCTGCTTTATACATCTGATGTGTCGAAGATAATTGATTCCTATGATTTTTAAAGCCATGCATATGCAGACGACATTCAAATTATGTTATCAGGTAAACCGAAGTTATTTCAAGACGAGATTACAAAATTTGTTGAATTTATGTCAGAGGTTAAAATAAAATTTCTTTCTTTTGGTACCTGGCAGCAGTTGGCAGACTTGGGTACAAATTCCGTTGTTATGAATGATAAAAAAAAAATAGATTTCTGTGAAGCGGTGTCGAACCTAGGTTTTTTAATTGATTCAAACCTAACAATGAAATCTCATTTTAAAATGATCTCTATATCATGTCTGGCACGGAATGAAACAAATTCGAGAATCACTTGATAAAGACGTATTGCAGACTCTGGCGCATGCGTTGGTGCACTCACGTGTCGATTATTGCAATAGTTTGTTTTATGGCCTCCCAGCCAGCCAGATTTATCAAAATTCTGCAATCGATTCAAAACCGCACTGCCTGGGTTGTGACTGGTTGTCGATGATAGGATCATGCTACACCGATCCTGAACGATTTTCACTGGTGGCCTATAAATTAAAGAGTTGTTCTTAAAATTTTTGTCACAGTTTTTAAATCGCTGGCTCCAAAATATCTATCAGATAAACTGAAATTAAAAACGTCGATCGCATCTGGTGTGCGACTGAGGTCTGAAGATCCGAACATTCTTGTGGTCCCTCATAGACAGCTAAAGATTGGATAGCGTGATTTTGCTGTGTCAGGCCCTGCCGTATGGAACGGCTCGCCGTCAGCCCTCAGAGTGCCTGGAATGAATATTGCTGAACTTAAAAGACGATTAAAGACATACCTTTATTTTACTATAGCTCAATTCTTTTCATTTTTGCTATTTTGGTATGAATAATATTGGTTATAATTTGAAAGCTCTTGTGAAAACTGCTAAAACGAACGATACATAAATTTTTTCTTGATAATAATAATACGTACATTTATTTATTTATTCATTCATTCATTCATTTATTCAAATCCGTACATTTAATTCGTACATTTACAAATTACGTTTTAAATTCTTTTTAATTTATACTACTTACTGAAACAGAAATTAATCAGGGAATACCCGGGTGGTTTATTTATAGATTCCCTGAGAGATGATTGGTTGAAACTGAACCAATTAAAAAGCGATGCAGACTTTGTGGCCCAATTTAGACGGTTGCATTACGTTTTAATTTTTGATTATAAAAAAATGTTTTTGAGCAATTAACTCACAAACCAATCAGAAGATTCTACATTCTACGAAACTACCAATCAAAATAAGCCGTTCAACATTCTGACCAATCAAAATAAGCAATTCAACATCCCGACCAATCAAAACATGCTATTGAACAAACCAATCAATCGAAACAAACAACCAATCAAACACGTTCTTAACAAACTCACAACCAATCAGATTATTCAAAAGGCTTCCGCCGGCCAATCAAGCTCTCCTTATTGAAATATTTCTTTTAATGAAGGTGATAATTCAGTCGGAACGCTGTAAGATGACGCCAAACAATATGGCCGATATTTTGGCACCAATGTTCTTTCAAATTAAGTTCGGTTGGTTGTAGTTTTGCTGTCGCTGTGATAATGATAATCATCATCATCATTGTCACATTATCATTGTCATCATCATCGTCATCGTCAACACAGATAAGAGAGGCATTAACATTCAATTGAAAAGTGTCGAGTTACTCGTGCGGATGATCAAACTATTCGACCAAGTAGTCGAGTCTTCGAAGCTGAAGCATCGCCATCGCCAGCAACGTAATGACGTCACTGCCAATCAGTGATATGCTGCTGAGTGCTTTTACTAGCAAGATATTAAAACAACCAAAAATATTCTTTCTCGCTGCGATAACGCAGCGAGAAAGATGGGAATGACGTCATCATAATTTTTATTCACATTTCGCGTGTTTTTACGTTATTTCATGGAATTAAAATATATATATATAACAAATTAAAAATTAATTCAAATAAAATTTATTTTTCTTTTTGATATTCAACACTTTCCAATAAAGTTCCATCCTTGAGCTTGTAGCAGGCGGCGGGGAGAGTTAAAAATGGCACCAAAAATCTTTGAGAAGGTTGTAAAATTGTGTCTAAGCTAAATCGGACTATAAGTATGTCTTCCAAAATTGAGGTGAAAGTTGAAATTACAAACGAAAAAGAAGAGAACGAGAAATAAAAGGCGGGTCAGAGAATAAAAAATTGGTTTCGAGCAGAATAAAAAATCCTACCGCAGAGAAGTTTGTGTCCGAACTGCAAGAAAATTAGCGATAACTCCCGAGGAATAGTTTATCACGAAAAATTCTACACGCTGTCTGGGTGTTTGAATTAACGATAATCTTCTGCGAAGAGAATACTTGAGAATTTACGACCAAGAAATATCTGCCGAAAGAGCTTGATTATTGACGAATGGTTTTATTCATTGATTTATCTCTTGATTAGTTATTGTTGCTATAATTTAACAATTGAATAAACGAGTGATTGATAACAGCAATACACACAAGTTTTCTTTCTATCTTTAAACTCATGAAGCAAAATAATCCGAAAATCACGCTTAGACAACATTCTCAAATATCGCTCAAAATCAAAGACACTGAATAGTTGGACCAATTAATTAATAAAGGCTAGATAGAAGAATAAATAACCTTCAAATGATATATAATGATCAATATATTCAATATATTGTACTTAAAAATTTAGTGATGAAAAATTTATTAACATAAAACGGACATTATATTTGCACACCAACCTAATAATAAAATTCATCTAAAATAAGTCTGCTCAGAAGTCAGGAAGCCACATAGAGAGAAGTAACTGTACCCTCTTACAAGTTTAAGGGGTCGGTTAAAACATTATTATTCTATGGCGTTGTTTATAGTCTTTCGTGCTTTCTCTTCTCTTGTTTACTTGGCAGAACGTTTTGAATAAATAAATTAATTAATGATAATATTAATTTTAAATAATAATTATGATAATAAAAGCAATATTAACAATAAACTATAATAATAATAATATAATATATAATAATAACGCTCTAGCTTACCATATAATACTATGATGTTTCAATTGTAATAATAATAACTTCGAAGCCATATTTAACGGTGAATTATTATTATTATCATTATTATTATAAATGTGAACTCTATGTGTAATACGGTCAGTGGCGGATCTGGAATTTTGCAGTAGGGCGGGAAGCGGATAATTTCAAAATGTAAAAAAAGTTGATGGCCATTTTTTTTAGTTGCTAATTTCCATTTAAGTGGGGAAGGAGATGATTTTCAAAATTCTCAAGTTGACAACCTTTCTTTCTTTCTTTCATGGCCAGATCCAAGTTGACCTTTCTTTCATCTTGACCCGGTCAAAGTTGGTGACCTTTTTTTCCTCCTTTCATGGTCCTGTCAAAGTTGGTGACCTTTTTTCCCTTCTTTTATGGCCCGGTCCAAGTTGACCTTTCTTTCATCTTGACCCGGTCCAAGTTGGTGACCTTTCTTTCCTTCTTTCATGGCCCGGTTCAAGTTGATGACCATTCTTTCCTTCTTTCATGGCCCGGTCCAAGGTTTGGTAAGGGGTGGGGGTGGGGTTGTCCCCGTACCCCCTCCTCTATAGATCCGCCACTGTTTATAATTTCCATAAAGTTTCTAATTAACTAAAGACTAGATATGAGCAGAAAAGTCAAACATTTGATGTGCAACAGAAGGTCTTCGTTCATAATACTCCTGGTGCTAGGTTTGTTTTCCTTATATTATCAACATTATCTTCATCGAACGTCATCTTTGTCGTCGTCATCATCATCATCATCATCATCATCGCCAGTGTCATCATCATCATCATCGGATGAAGTGATGAAAGTTGTTTACTTTGATGGGAAGCATGAGCCGGTAGAGAAGATTCAAAACTGTTAGTGAGTGAGTGAATGAATGAATGAATGAATCAATCAATCAATCAATCAATCAATCAATATATGAACGAACGAACAAACAAGCGAATGAACGATGGAACAAATGAATGAACGACGAATGAAGGAATGAATAAAAACATTTCATGTAAATTATTTTCCTCCAGTCATCGGCATCATGACATCGGGAATTTTGAAATCAGTCTACATTGATGGGAAGAATGCTCTAAATAATAATAATAATAATAATACTAATACTAATTATAATAATAAAAATAATAATAATAATGATGATGGTGAGGGGGACGGATTAACTCAGTCGGAACAGCCGGTTTTAATTTCAATCCACCCATCGAGAAATATTATTTCAATTCACATTACGTCATCGTCGTCATCATCGTCATCCTTCCTAACTTTACTAACTTGGTCCGGCTTTGGGGACATGTACAAGACAGACGAAAGATGGAAGTGTACCGGGGAATACCCGGGCCGTCATTGGTCAGATTTTCGTGACGTCATCGATGAATGAATGAATGATTGATTGAAATCACAATTGAGTAAATGAATGCGTGGCAAATGAATGAATGAAATCGCAAATGAATGAGTGATTTAGTGAAGGAACAAGCAAATGAATTGATGAATGAATGAACGAATTAACAGATGAATGAATGAATGAATGAACGAGTGAATTAATAAAAATACTTAATAACAGAACAGTAACCAAAAACTTACTAATTTACTTCTACGTTAAATTTTTTACTGGTTAACAAAAAAAAATATTACAAAACATCTTTTGCCAAAGGTTCAATAACTCACATTTCGGCACCGGCTCATTTGGCCTCAGAGCCCGAATGTACAGCTGGCACCAACAACAACAACAACATCAGCAGCAACAACAGCAACAACAACAACAACAACAAAAAATGCACGGTCTATGGATAACATCAGGCATTGCAGCCATCAGTGATATGTACTGCAGACTGGATCTAAGAGAGAATTGTTTAGAGAATTTGATTCTTTTAAAAATATTTTTGGAATTATTCAAAGTTAAATAATTTGTAATCATATAATCTTCTTGTAATCGAACACGATCATTGCAACACCAGTGGCAGGCGCCTTGACCAATACACCATGGCGGCGCCTATACTGATGATTGGATTGGTTTGATTTCAGATTTGGCAGTGGCGTCCAACGGGAGGATGGATGTCTATCTGGATGGCAGGAAAGTGGAGTTACCTCCAGCATCATCATCATCGTCGTCGTCGTCATCATCATCGTCATCATCGCCTACATCACCACTAACTTCATCATCACTATCACCACAACTATCATCATCATCTTCTTCTTCTTCACCATCATCATCTTCATCATCATCATCCTTATCGAAAGCTGAATTAATTGAAATTTCTTACGAGACAAATAGCATCGCGATTCATGTAACCACAACGTCATCATCATCATCAACGTCATCATCATCATCAACGTCATCATCATCATCGTCACGTGATCCACAAATAACAGTTTGGAGTCCGAACAAAGATCTGTATAGTGGCGTTTGGAGGTGGAAATGTTCCTATCGTCTGCCGAAGCAACGACAACAACAACAACATCAACAACATCAACAACATCAACAACATCAACAACAACAACATCAACATCATCAACAACAACAGCATCAACAACAACAACATCAACATCATCAACAACAACATCATCATCAACAACAACATCAACATGGAAAGCGTTCAACGGATGCAGAAGCAGGAAAAAAAATTGATGGCGAGGAAGACGACGATGATGAAAACTGGATGAATGATGATGATGAGGGGGAAGACGACGACGATGATGATGATGATGATGATTATGATGAAAATAATAAAATAAACAACAACAATTACAACAGTAGCAACAACAACAACACCAACGAACCCAGCAAAGAAACTGGCAGCGGACACAAACACAGGACTGACGAAGAAAAATCAAGCGCCACAAAAAGTAAAAAGAAATTGTTTAAAAGTGCATCTATCAAGGAGTACGAACGTGACGTCACCATCGTTAACCTTCCGTCGAATATCGTCTGGTTTGGAAGCCGTGACGATGGCGATGATGACAATAATAATAATAATAATAATAATAATGATAATAACAAGAAAACCCTCAATAAAAATAATAAAAATGTCAACTCAAAGAAGACACTGGATCCAGATTTAATTGAAAAGTTGAGCGCTACATCAGTCGACGATCAGCTGAGATCTAAACATGAAAAGATTAAAAATAAGAAGAACAGTAAAATAACCCATCGCCATCTTTACTGCAAAATTCACATTAATGGTATGTGAAATTTTATCGGTCCTTGAGTCATCCAATCACAGAATGGATTGCATTTTTGTGTAATTACCATTGGTTGTTATATCATCCAATTACAAAAAAGATTACAAATTTTTTAATTTGCTATTGGTCCTCACATTATTACATAACAGACTACAATTGTCTAAAATTTATCATTTTTGTCATGATCGTATTTATTCTATTATTTATTTTATTTTTAATTAAATCAACTAATTAACGAATAAATAGACAATAATTAAATAATAATATTATAATAATATACTAAATTGAAAAAAATTATTTTGCATAAAGTTTTTAGTTTGGCGAGCACAGGAGATGCCCTGGTGTTCGTGAATGGTCAGCTACTTCGAAGAAAAAAGCAAAGAAACATCCATAATAATAATAATAACAATAATACTACTACTAATTATAATAATAATAATAATACTAATAATTATAATAATAGTAATAATAATAATAATAATATCTCTCCTCATCATCATCATTACCGCCACTTCTCAGTGCCTCCAGACTACTTGACAGCAGACCACGAGGTGAAGTTCCACATGAAGACACCCCCCAGGTCCATCAACTCGCTGGTCGTCTACGTAAAGACGGCCGAAACAAAAATTAGGAGGGTGCCACTAATAACCGCGTGGTCATCCCACGGACCCAGGTACAACACTGATTCAAGATGGCGGTGCGCATCCCAGAAGCCCGTCTCTAGAAGTAGGGGATCGTCTCTTCAGAACTTGAACGGATGGTTCGGCGAATACTTTGACGAAGAATCGAGTATGAAAAGGGCCAGAATATTCGATATTGATGATGAAAATAAGAACATCAATGGTAATAATAGTAAACAAGATGGCGGGAATTTTCTCTCTGACGTCTTCATTCGGGGTAGATATCCATTTCCGGTTTGGATTGGGGCCGATGATTGGACGAGTGGTGCTGATAATGATACGACGAATAGCAGCAGGGAGTTGTTTTGCAGGTTGAACTTAGTGGAGAGCGGCTAGTAATTTTTTTATTTTTTCATCCCGATTCGTATTCTTTTTACGCTGTAGTTTTAAAGTTACTATTATTTAAATTAACTTTTATACACTCCGTCATCATTTTTATTAAAAATAACTAACCGACCAATGAGCTAACTGATCAGCCGTTCGGCCAACCAATCACAGTGCTCTCCATCTCAGCGAGACAACACATCAGCAATCTGACAATCGACGGACAACCAATAGCATTGAGCCACGCTTCCGAGCAAAATATGGCTGACGTCATTCTACTTCCGCCATCTTTCAAGATCATCGAGGTCAAATTTCATGCAACCGGAAACAAGATGGCGGCCTTCATGGCCTGGTCTCACGTGGACGCACGCCTCAATTCCTATTGGCTGTGCGATTTAAATGAAAAATTTCACATTCGCGCTAAATCAATTCTCGGTTGTAATTGGAGGATGAAAAGTACGGATCACGTGGTTGGACTTCCGGCAAACGCTTGCTGGATGGGAGTTGAGCGTACAAACAACAACAACAACAGCGATGACATCACCGATGACGTCAGCAACACAAGCAACATCAATGAAAGTTCTCAGGTCTGCAGATTTGATGTATCAGGTAAGTCAGTACCATGACAACAACACCATAGTTTATGGGAATTTGGCAATAATTGTCTTACAAATTAGTGAATATTTTTAAAACGCAGTAACAGATGACGTAACGGAAAATCTTTTAATGGCCTCTTCCGGTAGGATATCGGAAGTTTACATGGATGGGAAATTCCAGAAGCCAGTGTGGAAGAATTACCACGACAAGATGGCCGACCATTACCAGATTGACAGGCACATCCGGGTCCTGGCCGTCGTCGTTGTGGGGGGCCTGAGGGAGAGACTCCTCATGGTCTGGTCCAGCACTGGCAAGTATAGCTCAGATAAGAGGTTTCGAAATTATTTTTCCACAATTTTTTTTTAAATTTTTTCTCTGAAACCAAGCATCGCGTACACTTTGCATGTGATTCGAGAGGATCTGCTTGCGTTCGAATCCGATAACTGCAAGAGAAGCGGCAGGCATCTTAACCTTTACACCATCGCGCTGCCCTACACACATATTACTGCCATTGTGATGAGAATCATGTGAATGTTAGTGAAGAAACAATTGTAATGGGAATAAATTTATTAATTTATTATTATTATCAAATTTATTAATTTGATAATAATTTCATTTTTTTCGATATTTCGTTTCGAAGATGGCGCTGCAGTGACACCTACCCCAGCGATGATTGGCTATTTCTGTGGCGCAACAAATCACGTGACATCATGCCTCTGGCCAATCAGGGAGGAGCAAATTTGCAGCTGGGAATCAATGTTAAGGGAGATCAACTTCCGGTTGTAAAACAGCCAACCTCTCCTGCAAAGAAAAAGAAGAAGCGCTACAGAACTCGAGTGACGTCACCAAGGCGAAGAATGTTGAAAAGAACGAAAAAACAGTTCGGCCAAAATTTGAGACCAAAAACTTCAACAACTACTACTACTACAACAACTGGGAGACCGGTGAGTAAGAAATTTTTCAAGATGAGTTTCAAGGCAGCCAGAAAGAGACCATCTAGATTTAAGAGGTTGGATTGCATCAAGATTGTGACGTGTTATTAATTATCATCATCTTTACCACCACCATCATCAACAACAACATCAACATCATTATCAACATCGTCAACGTGTTTCGTTTTTGGGGGGGTTTCATGGGGTGAACTTGTTCTAAAGAAATCACCACCACCAATGCAGGTCAGATGCGACATCCACAAGTCATAATTGGGTTGTTTCCATCGGAGGAGGCATGCCACTGCAAGCCGTGTGGCTCTCAATCAAAAGTAGTCGTCGTAGTAATAAAAGTAGCGACAGCAGCAGCAGCAGTAGTGGCGGTGGTGGTGGTGGCAGTGGTAGTGGTAAGACCGCTGATGAAGAAACAAAATTCTATTGTCGATTGGACGTCAGAGAGAAAGGTTAGGATTGTCAAAAATAAGTACACTCAAGTGCATATGTACTTAATACTAAGCACACATAAGTACATGTGTACTTAAAATTAAGTGCATATACACTCGAAACATCAAAAACAGAACTTCTGATAGCGGCCCGGACGCAAATTAAATTTTATCTTGATGGCGAGCTGCAGCTACTGCAACAGCCACAGCAGCCACAGCAGCAACGACTGCCGCGACATCTAAAACAACCACAGCAGCCACGAATATCTGACATTGAGAATCTCGATAAATGGTACATTCCTAGTTTGATCGACGTGTCATCGAACCCGGGTGTCGTGGCTCTGGTGGTCAGAAATCCAGACGGTAGAGCTGCATTTACCGCGTGGGGAAGTTTGGGCGCGAATATGTACAGCACTAATTCGAATTGGAGATGTGCCGACCAGGAACCGACTCAGGGATGGATGGCAAAACAACCACCACAACAACCACCACTACCACAACAACCACCACAACCACAACAACCACAACAACAAAATCGCAGTTTCAACATGTCAGCTGCCATCATAATTTCTTCAAATGACGTCATCAATCCGACCGATTCTACCTGGAACATGCCCGTTCTAGGGATGTCACCTCGCTCACTCTGGATCACTAGCGAGCAGTTCTCGAATGTTATTTACTGTCGGTTAAATGTTAACGGTGAGTCGGTTCAGTGTATCGATCGTTCGGTATAATTTTATATTGAGGGGTGGAGTGTTTGAATGAAGTAGCAATTGAAATTTATTAGAGTTGATGATGGCGATGATGGTGATTAATTATAATAATAATTATTATTATTGTTCTTGTTATTATTATTATTATTATTATGAATCGGTATTTCGTTTCGTTTCAGATGTGAACGACAATAAAGTGGCCGATATTATACCGAAAAAAATCATTTTGCAACATGACGGTAACGAACGAATGAACGGATGGATGGATGAATGAATGAATGAATGAATGAATGAATAAATGAATGAATAAATGAATGAACAAACGAACGAATGAATGAATGAATAAATGAATGAATGAATAAATGAATGAACGAATGAATGAACGAACGAACGAATGAATGAATGAATTAATAAATCATACTCTTGACACTTAAAAGAATTGGTGATATCCGCCAACGGCTTACTAACTTCATTTCGTGTGAATGGAACCAAAGAACTATTAGACACACTTCCGGCAAAGCCTGGAATGGCTAGCGTGTTAAAAGTGAATCCCAACGCAAAAATAATGACCATAGATATAAAAGTGACAAAAAGAAATGATGATATCTTTGGTGATTCTATCGATAGGGCCAATACATGGATGGGTTTGTTTGTTTTTTCAATTAATAATTATGATGGTGATGATGACGACGATGATGATGATGAATGATGACGTCATCATCATCATCATTCGTAGGTTTCGCAGTATGGTCCGGTAACGAATTGTATAACTCAGATAGCAGATGGAGATGTCACGGTGATGATGATGATGATGATGCTGGTGGTGGTGGTGATGATGATGTGGGGAAGTTTTTGAGGGGTAGGATTAATGACTTTGACTTTGACAACACTCTCTACAACAACAACAACAACAACAACAAAACTAGCAAAGACAAAACAGCCAACATGCGAAATGAAAATTTTACCTTTCGCGATTGGCCAAGAGCAAAATTTTTGCGTTGGAATTTGGCTCAAAAAGGTACCAAGGACGACAACAACAACACCAACAACAAAAACAACAGCATCAACAACAACAACATCAACAACATTGATAGTGAGTGGAACGTTTTAGTTGCATCAGCAATGCTTCCTTTCGAAGCTAACTGGATAACTTCTGCTGAGCTAAAAACCAATGCCACTACTACAACTACAACTAATAATAATAATAATAATAATAATAATAATAATAATAATAATAATTATAATAATAGCGGCGGTAAAAATGTCAATCCCAATGAGAGAGATGATGATAAAAAAGCGAGAGAAAGAGAGAAAGTGAAATACCTCAGATGTTATTTGGATCTTACGGAAGATAGTCAGTCGCTAGTTCGTCTTCCATAATTTTTACAGATATCTGGAATGTTAAATGTTTCTTTGTGTGTGGTATGGATGAAAAGAGTATGATTTATTCATTCATTCATTCGTTCGTTCGTTCGTTCATTCGCTCGTTCATTCATTCGTTCATTCATTCATTCATTCATTGGTTGGAATCAGTTGCCTTCACTCACTCACACACACCAACCGCACAGCCCTGCTCGTGTCGGCCTACGACAACTTCGAAGTCTTCATCAACGGCCGGCAAGTCGTCACTAACTTAAAGAACCGTCATAACTGGCAGATCGCTGACGTCATTTCCGTTCCGCCGAAGGTCCAACTAATCGGCGTGAAAGTTGAATGGACGAAGTCTGAAATTAGCGCGGAAACCGCGGCTTTCATCGTTTGGTCTGCCAACAAATTTCTCCGGACAGATCGTAGATGGCGCTGCTCCAACAGATTTCCCGGGCCGAAATGGTTCAAGGACGAGATTGCATCAAATGAAACAGGTACGAAATGGTCCAGGGCAAAAATTATGGGCCGGAATGACCATTTCGGAAGATCAAATGACGCGTGGTTGGCTCCGGTTGCTGGGATGCCCTCGGATGGTCTGTGGATCCGTGGGGAGGAGGAGGAACCTGCACTCTACTGCAGGCTGATTGTTGACGGTTCGATGCTGATT